TGCAGGTGTCACTTCCTGTATGGCTCAGAAACCAGCGAGCGCCTAACCACTCAGATCCAAAAGGCTCTGGACGAGCGGCAGGAATTTAAGACTGAGTGCATCCTGTACAAGAAGGGGGGTAAGGCAGGGAACCATCTTGGTTCTAGTTGAAGGACATTAGTCCGTGGTGTGGTAAGATATCTTTGACAGGTCCCTCATGGGTTTTCTATGGCTCTTTCTCAATTCCATCTCTTCCCCTTCATCTGCATTGATTGGCAAAAAAACTTCACAGGTGCAAAAATTTTTTTGTGTAAACTAATCATTAGCGTTTTCACTTGGTCAGTTATTCCAGATAATTGCAGATGAAGGAGAGGACAGATTATCAAGGCCATTGAGACAGAGCCTACAGTGAGGGAAAAAAGTATTTGATCCCCTGCTGATTTTGTACGTTTGCCCACTGACAAAGAAATGATCAGTCCATAATTTTAATGGTAGGTTTATTTGAACAGTGAGACACAGAATAACAACAAAAAAATCCAGAAAAACGCATGTAAAAAATGTTATAAATTGATTTGCATTTTAATGAGGGAAAAAAGTATTTGACCCCCTCTCAATCAGAAAGATTTCTGGCTCCCATGTGTCTTTTATACAGGTAATGAGCTGAGATTAGGAGCACACTCTTAAAGGGAGTGCTCCTAACCTCAGCTTGTTACCTGTATAAAAGACATCTGTCCACAGAAGCAATCAATCAATCAGATTCCAAACTCTCCACCATGGCCAAGACCAAAGAGCTCTCCAAGGATGTCAGGGACAAGATTGTAGACCTACACAAGGCTGGAATGGGCTACAAGACCATCGCCAAGCAGCTTGGTGAGAAGGTGACAACAGTTGGTGCGATTATTCGCAAATGGAAGAAACACAAAATAAATGTCAATCTCCCTCGGCCTGGGGCTCCATGCAAGATCTCACCTCGTGGAGTTGCAATGATCATGAGAACGGTGAGGAATCAGCCCAGAAGTACACGGGAGGATCTTGTCAATGATCTCAAGGCAGCTGGGACCATAGTCACCAAGAAAACAATTGGTAACACACTACGCCGTGAAGGACTGAAATCCTGCAGCGCCCGCAAGGTCCCACTGCTCAAGAAAGCACATATACATGCCCGTCTGAAGTTTGCCAATGAACATCTGAATGATGAGGACAACTGGGTGAAAGTGTTGTGGTCAGATGAGACCAAAATCGAGCTCTTTGGCATCAACTCAACTCGCCGTGTATGGAGGAGGAATGCTGCCTATGACCCTAAGAACACCATCCCCACCGTCAAAGATGGAGGTGGAAACATTATGCTTTGGGGGGGTTTTTCTGCTAAGGGGACAGGACAACTTCACTGCATCAAAGGGACGATGGACGGGGCCATGTACCGTCAAATCTTGGGTGAGAACCTCCTTCCCTCAGCCAGGGCATTGAAAATGGGTTGTGGATGGGTATTCCAGCATGACAATGACCCAAAACACACAGCCAAGGCCACAAAGGAGTGGCTCAAGAAGAAGAACATTAAGGTCTGGAGTGGCCTAGCCAGTCTCCAGACCTTAATCCCATAGATAATCTGTGGAGGGAGTTGAAGGTTCGAGTTGCCAAACGTCAGCCTCGAAACCTTAATGACTTGGAGAAGATCTGCAAAGTGGAGTGGGACAAAATCCCTCCTGAGATGTGTGCAAACCTGGTGGCCAACTACAAGAAACATCTGACCTCTGTGATTGCCAACAAGGGTTTTGCCACCAAGTACTAAGTCATGTTTTTCAGAGGGGTCAAATACTTATTTCCCTCATTAAAATGCAAATCAATTTATAACATTTTTGACATGTGTTTTTCTGGATTTTTTTGTTGTTATTCTGTCTCTCAAATAAACCTACCATTAAAATTATAGACTGATCATGTCTTTGTCAGTGGGCAAACGTACAAAATCAGCAGGGGATCAAATACTTTTTTCCCTCACTGTATATGTTTTCCTTATCTCTGACCTTTGGTTGTCTGTGTGTCTGTCTGTATCTCAGGAGACCAGTTCTGGTGTCTGCTGGACATAGTGCCCATCAAGAATGAGAAGGGAGAGGTGGTGCTGTTCCTGGTCTCCCACAAGGACATCACAGATACCAAGAAGGACGAGGGGGACCATGGACAAGACTCAGACACTGGTGAGGGAGGGAGGGAGGTTCAGATGAAGGGAAAATGGGAGAGAGGGGGTTGGAGGGAGAGGGAGAGAGATACATTGACAGTTATCTGATGAAAAATGAATAAGCTAATTACAGTACATCAAAAGGATCTTGTCTCCCTCCACCCCCACCCCTCGGCCTGCCTGTCCCCAGACGAGGAGACAGGTCTGGAGGTGCACAAGATCACCCGCCCCCCAGGCTTTGACAACAACCGCCGGCGTAGCCGGGCCGTACTCTACCAGCTGTCTGGACACTTGCAAAAACAGGACAAGAGCAAGCTCAAGATCAACAACGTGAGTACACTGTAACACATGGATGGAAATTTACAGCAAAAATCTTTGCAGTTAGCTACTGGAATTCTATATTACAGTATAGTACTGTAAAGAGCAATGCATTATGCGGGGACTATTAGAGCTCTGCGTTGCACAACACGTCCCATATCTCACCCTATCAGCATTCAGTGATGTCCAACACGTCCCATATCTCACCCTATCAGCATTCAGTGATGTCCAACACGTCCCATATCACACCCTATCAGCATTCAGTGTTGTCCAACACGTCCCCATATCACCCAGTTCATATCACCCAGTTAGCCCCATGTTTGCCCAATACATCTCACGTCACCCTATCAACACTCTTCTATTGTCCAATACAGCCCATATCTCATCCTATCAACACTCTTCTATTGTCCAATACAGCCCATATAAGCACCCAGAACATCAAACCACCACTCCTATGGCTAATCACTTCCTCAACATTTCAATGGCGAAGGTGCATAAAGATATGACGTCATTGTTTTTAACACTGCCCACAGAGTTCTTAAACTACGGCGCGCGACATGGTTCAGTGCGCCAGTATATCAGCACAATTTACTTTTTTTGTTTTTTTCCAAACTGCCATCGTCTTGGAGCTAAAATTGGGATCATAATAACACTTTTATTAGTAGCCATGGTTCAAGATCTGGTGGTGCTGTTTAGCTAACTCCTATGGTCATTATCTGGCCATTTGGCAACCATAGCGCTTGGCAAGACAGCATCAATAGCTCTGGGATCAGGCTTGTTCATAAGGATAAACCCTTTATCAGTCATGGACTTACTTACTTACTTAGGCCCATCACTCCTTTGGGAGTATAGGTCATCAGGACTTCTGTCCATCTGTTCTGGGGAGTCTTCTCCAGCTCCTTCCACCCCATGGCAGTCCTCTTCGTATCTGTCTCAAGCTCCCACATGGACTTTATTGATTCAATATATCATTTTCATTGACCTCTGTGATGATGTCTTGGTGTGTGTTTTCATGTTGTTATGATGTGTCATTTTCTCCCCAGAGGATGTTTGGGGCGACCCCCAACCCCATCCCTGAGTACAAGGTGGCTGCCACCCCAAAGTCCCGCTTCATCCTGCTACACTACGGGACCTTCAAGGCGGGCTGGGATTGGCTCATCCTCCTGGCCACTTTCTATGTGGCCATCACCGTGCCCTATAACGTTTGCTTCACTGTGGTGGAGGGGCGGGACGAGGGGGGTGGCTCCGGGTCTCGCAACCCCCCCAGTTACAGCGACATCTTGGTGGAGATTCTGTTCATCATCGGTAAGAGTGAAAAAACCCACCCCAAAATGTTACCACACCTTTACTAGGAGACAAACACCCACCCACCTGTAACAGAGGTGGTTCAGTGAACCACACTTGTGCGATGATGAACCTTGCCGGAGACCTGAAAACAGAGCCAATGCCTAGGCTTTGTCTCAGCAGGCTAACACAGTCTTGTGGCGCTGGAGACCTGGGTTCAAACCCTCATTCGGTCAAACACCCATTGATTTAATAAACAATTACATCATTCACGCAGGCAATCACAACAACAGCCAATAATAATCCACATCACATTAACTCACCTGGTTGGTCGATATGCACTTCCTTATCTAATTAACATCCAGCCAATAATTTGAGGAGATCAATGAGCACTGGTGTATTTGATTAAACAGACTGATAACATTTTCACCTCTTGTTTACAGACTGTTAACTGTGAGGTTATAATAACTAAGATAAATACCAAAAGGCTTCCTCTGTTACCCAGCAGTCACAACTGGTTGCAATGTCACGTCATGGTTAGGTTGTTCACTGATTGCGTAAGTTTTTTTAGATGTCCTGTTTAGGGTTGCAAAATTATGGTAACTCCCAAAATTCACAGGTTTTCCAGAAATCCCGGCTGTAAGACGCCTGGACACGGAAAGGAATAAGCAGGAAATCCGGACTCCTTCAACCAGGATTTCTGGAAAATCTGGGAATTTGGGGAAAGTTAGCTGAATTTTATCACCCTAAACAGGACATCTAAAAAAATGTACACAATCAGTGACAACCTAAACCATGACTTGACATTGCAACCAGTTATGTCCTGTTAGAAAACAGGAAACTGTGTTTTCACCAGTGGAGACTGCTAAGGGGAGAACAGCTCATAATAATGGCTGGAATGGAGTAAATGGTATGGTATCAAACACATGGAAACCTAGTCTTTGATGTGTTTGATACCATTCCATGGACTCCGTTCCAGACATTATTATGAGCTATCCTCCGCTCAGCAGTCTCCACTGGTGTTCTAATGGTTGTAATCTCATTTATCTGACCAGACATATTGATGTAGACATGAAAGTAAATGCATTCCGCTACACCCACAATAACATCTGCTAAATATGTGTATGTTACCAATAAAATTTGATTTGATTTGAAATGTCTTAACCTGGTTGTAATCCGGTTGTAATCTGACATCTCTACAACCCGTTTATGACCAGGAACAACGTCATTATGACGTCCCATGCCA